CTCCCTTTGTTACTCTGCCTTTCTGGTCTCCTTTGAAGACAGACTTCTTCATTAAAAACAAAATTTAAGGGCTTCCCTGGTGGCGCAGTGGTTGAGAGTCCGCCTGCCGATGCAGGGGATGAGGGTTTGTGCCCCGGTCCGGGAAGATCCCACATGCCGCGGAGCGGCTGGTCCCGTGAGCCATGGCCGCTGAGCCTGCGCGTCCGGAGCCTGTGCTCCGCAACGGGAGAGGCCACAATAGTGAGAGGCCCGCGTACCGCAAAAAAAAAAAACAAAAAACAACAACCAAGAAACCCCACAAAATTTAACTGCCTTACTGAGGTATAACTGACATACAATAAACTATACTTATTTAAAGTACACGATCTGCTGAATTTTTGGATCATGTATATACCTGAGAAACCATCATCATAATCAATGTAACAGACAGCCATTACCACCAAAGTTTCCTTCTACCTTTTGCAATACTGCCCCTTCCACCCCTCCCCCATCACATAACCTTGTCTGACAAACTTCTTGGATTAGTAATCTCTAGATTTGTTGTCTCCTTATTTTGCATCCATCCACTCAACCTACATTCCATCCTCATGACTCCAATGTAAGTCACCAACACTTTCAAATATTTAATCTAATGAAGTTTCATTTCTTGGTTTCTTTATAGCACTTGACCACTTTCTTCTTCCTTGAAACCTTGGTTTCTGAGACCACATTCTCCTGGTTTCCCTTCTATCTCTCTGGCTATTCATTTTTTTTTTTGCGGTACTTTGTACCTAATTCATTCCTACTCAGTCTTTAGATATCAGGTCAAACTTTACTTTCTCAGGGAAGCCTTCCCTGATCCTGTAGTCTAAGTCAAGTTTTTTGTTACACGTTCTTACAGAACCAGATTCCCTTTTAAAAAGCACTTACCTCAAACAAACGTGATCTAATTAAACTTAAAAGCTTTTGCACAGAAAAACAGACCATAAACAAAAAAAAAGACAACCTACAGGGACTTCCCTGGTGGTCCAACGGTAAAGAATACATCCTGCAATGCAGGGGACACGGGTTCGACCCTTGGTCAGGGAACTAAGGTCCCACATGCCGTGGGGCAACTAAGCCCGTGCGTGCCACAACTACTGAGCCTGCGCACCTCAACTAGAGAAAGAGAAAACCTGCACGCCACACTAGAGAGAAGTCCACACGCTGCAGAGAAGATGCCGCGCGCTGCAAGGAAAGATCCTGCATGCCACAACGAAGATCCCACATGCCACAACGAAGATCCCGCAACTAACACCCGACACAGCCAAAAAAAAAAAAAAGACAACCTACAGAATGGGAAAGAACATTTGCAAATGATGCGCCGGACAGGGGATTAATCTCCAAAATATGCAAACAGCTCATACAGTTTAATATCAAAAAAATGAACAACCCAATCAAAAGTGTCTACTTAGATGACCTAAGTAGACATTTCTCCAAAGAAGACATACAGATGGCCAAAGAGCACATGAAAAGATGCTTGACTTAATTATTAGAGAAATGCAAATCAAAACTACGATGAGGTACTACCTCACACCACTTAGAAGGGCCACCATCAAAAAGTCTACAACTAATAAATGCTGGAGAGGCTGTGGAGGAAAAGGAACCATCCTACACTGTTGGTGGGAATGTAAACTGGTGCAGCCACTATGGAGAACAGTATGGAGGTTTCTTAAAACACTAAAAATAGATCTACCACATGATCCAGCAATCCCACTCCTGGGCATATATCCAGAGAAAACTATAATCCAAAAAGATATATGCACTCCAATGTTCAGAGCAGCACTATTTACAATAGCCAAGACATGGAAGCAACCTAAGTGTCCATCGACAGATGAATGGGTAAAGAAGATGTGGTAAATACAATGGAATATTAGCCATAAAAAAGAATGAAATAATGCCACTTGCAGCAACATGGATGGACCTAGAGATTATCACACTAAGTGAAGTAAGCCACAGAGATAAAGACAAATATCATATGACATCACTTATATGTGGAATCTTAAAAAAAAAGATACAAATGAACTTATTTACAAAACAGAAATAGACTCACAGACATAGAAAACAAACATAGGGTTACCAAAGGGGAAAGGGGTGGGGGAGGCATAAATTAGGAGTTTGGGATTAAAATATACACACTACTATATATAAAATAGACAACCAACAAGGACCTACTGTATAGCACAGGGAACATATTCAATATCTTATAATAACCTATAATGGAAGAGAATATAAAGAAAAGAATATATATATAACTGAATCACTTTGCTCTATACCTGAAACTAACACAACATTGTATATCAACTATATTTCAAAAAAAATTTTTTAAAGAGAGAAAAAAAGTTTTAAAAAGCACATATCTCGGTTTGTAATCATATATTATTAACACAAATATCTAACTAAAGTCTATCTCTCCCACAAGGAGACTATAAACTCTACAAGAGCAAGAACTATATCTTATTTGCTTACCACTTAGCATCTGTCTGGCACATAGCAGGTATTCAAAATAATTTACCAAATATGTGAATACAGATCTACCTTATTCTTACTTTAAGTGTCAAAGAATTCCCCATAATTGATGTCATAATTTCTTTACCCAATCCCAGAATGATGGCATTTAACTTGTTTCCAGATTTTTACTATTATAAACAAACTGCTAGAATGATCACTCATGCCAGTGTATATCTATGGATGTACTTAAACATAATTCTTAAATGTAAAATTGCTGGTCAAATGAAAAGTGCGTTTAAAATTTTAACTGATATTTCCAAATTGTCCTCCTATAAGGCTGCAAAGTATCCTCCAAGCAATCAACAATGTGTAACAGTACCCATAACGATATACTTTTTTTTTTTTTTTTGCGGTACGCGGGCCTCTCACTGTTGTGGCCTCTCCCGTTGCGGAGCACAGGCTCCGGACGCGCAGGCTCAGCGGCCATGGCTCACGGGCCCAGCCGCTCCGCAGCATGTGGGATCCTCCCGGACCGGGGCACGAACCTGTGTACCCTGCATCAGCAGGCAGACTCTCAACCACTGCGCCACCAGGGAAGCCCGACTTCGATATACTTAATACTCAATTTGTATAATCAAAATGAACCTACTGGGCTTCCCTGGTGGTGCAGTGGTTAAGAATCCACCTGCCAATGCAAGGGACAGGGGTCCGAGCCCTGGTCCGGGAAGATCCCACATGCCACGGAGCAACTAAGCCCATGAGCCACAATTACTGAGCCTGCACTCTAAAGCCCACAAGCCACAACTACTGAGCCTGTGTGCTGCAACTACTGAATCCTGTGTGCCTAGAGCCTGTGCTCCGCAACAAGAGAAGCCACCAAAATGAGAAGCCCACTCACTGCAACCAAGAGTAACCCCTGTTCGCCACAACTAGAGAAAGCCCACGTGTAGCAACAGACCCAACACAGCCAAAAATAAATAAATAAATTTATTAAAAAAAAAAAAAGAAGAACCTACTGTTTGGCTGGGTGTGGGGTAATAGAGAAGAGTGTTAGTTTTTATGTAAGAGAAGTGTTTTGTTTTGTTTGTATTTTAATATCATACTAAGCATTTAAAATTAAATATTAAGTTTATTATTCCTATAAAAGAAGTTTCAGCAAATGAGTTGCGTAGACAAAGCTAAGTGATTAGGAAAATGTTTCATTATTGACAGACTGTGGATAATTTGTGTATTTTAAAAATCATGTATTAATTTAACCTATAGATTCTCAAAAGCACTTTTCCTGTCATATTGATTGTTTTTCTTTCTGAGACTTTAGTCCATGTTTCAATCATAGTACTGAGGCAGTAAAAAGGAGCAGAAAATCACAATAAGAATATTCACACATAAGAATATACAAAAAAATAGAGAAAAATGCTAACACTTTATATTAAACTAAATTTTTTTCTTCAAGATATTAACATTTTGTTGTAGTTCCTTCTATTTTTTGTCCTCATACTTAATACATCTCATAGCATGTTTATACTATTAATTGCTTCTTTTCACTAAGCAGTATAGCATGTACGTTTATTTCTTCCATGACCTTAAATACAGACCCTTCTTCTCCAGTCTCAAGTAGCAGTAACAAAAAGCACCTGCACGGCACCCGCTTCTCTAGATCTTCACTATGTTCTTAACCTCTTTAAGCTTCCTTTTTCTGATCTGACAAATGACAGCATTAGTTTAAACGACCTCTACATGATTAAAAGTTACAAGATTAAAGAGGAAATCCCTTCTGACTTAACTCTTCCCATTTAAGCTTTTCTAGAACATACTAGGCCTGTATTTAAGAAGGCAGACACCAGCTTCCTCTGTCCCACCACTTAGTAAGCATATCCTGTTGAAAATAATTTGATTCTTGTGATTCTTGATAATTCAGGACTTTTAGATATTTCAGGATTAGTATTCTCATCAGAAGTGATCTTGGGACTGCCTGGTGGCTCAGTGGTTAAGAATCCACCTGCCAATGCAGGGGACACGGGTTCAAGCCCTGGTCCAGGAAGATCCCACGTAATGCGGAGCAACTAAGCCCATGCGCCACAACTACTAAGCCTGCGCTCTAGAGCCCATGAGCCACAACTACTGAAGCCCACACGCCTAGAGCCCGTGCTCTGCAACAAAGACAAGCCACCACAATGAGAAGCACAGGCATCGCAATGAAGAGTAGTCCCCGCTCGCCGCAACTTGAGAAAGCCCGCACGCAGCAACGAAGACCCAACGCAGCCAAAAATAAATAAATTAAATTTAAAAAAAGAAGTGATTTTATTTGTAGTGATTCCAGATTATATACAAGAAATTCTTATTTAAATATAAAGAGAAAAATCATTAATTATAATCTGTTTTTCTTCTTACTAATTCTATCACTGAAGCAGAATATAAAGGGATTAGCTTTTAGAGTGTTTTCTTTTAACTGTCCTAATTAATGGAATTTCACATATAATAAACTGTCAATTCTTTTCCACGTCTAGATTTATAGAAACATGAGCTCTTACCTTAACTGGGAAGCTACATTTTCCAGTACGAACTCCTTCTTCATCTGTCTGCCACTGATGTGGACGACTGGCCTCTGGAACATAAACATCTTTCTTTCTCCTAAAACTTTGCCGTAGTTTATTCATTTTAATTTTTACAAGCTGTAAAAGAAGTATGAAAAGGAAGTTATTACTTTCTCACATACTTAAAGTTTGGATTACCGTCCTAATAAAAAACTAGTATCCCAAATTAAAGGTTTTGTTTTAGGGGGAAATGAGCAATTAGTATACTTCCTCTTAGAGTAACTCTAAGTTCAAACAAACAAATCACTTCACTTTTTGAAAAGACAATTATAATGCTATTCTTGTAAAACAACAATAACCTGTTGTAGGATCGGAAGAGATGTTATTCTAAGAACCTTCAAGCACTTTAATTGCAATAATCCAATGAGTATTCCTCCTGATCTACCTCTCAAATCCATTCTAACTCCTGAATAAGGAAATGTGTACCTGTAGCCAAATTATAAGCTGCTAACAATTTTTGAAAATATTCTGAAAACTTTGATCCTTATTAAGAAAAAAACATTCTGGAACACTGAAATTTGGGGATCTTTTTGGTTTACTATCAGAAGACACTAAGCAAAGCAGGGACTTTAATAGCCTTTTGTAAAAGATATTTTATAAAAAGAAATAAAGTTTCCTTTAAACATACTTAAAGAAGAAAAAGTTCTAGGATTACATTATTCTAAAGAAGAAATTTCTTGCAAGTAGTATGACATGAGAATGTACTTTCATATTCATAATAATTACAGACACGAAAGTAATCTAATAGTTTCCAATGACAAAGGTCCAAGTCTCATCATTAACTCTGTAAATTTAAAAGTATTAAACTACAGTCAGTGTTTTTGTTTTGTTACTGGAAGAGGCACTTCTCTAATGCTTTCAAAGGTACAGTAGAAATCACAAAACTACAGGGAAGGAAGACTTATCTGATAAGAAACAATGGAGCATTTAAGAGCCAATGAATAAACATAATGATTAAGTGTCCCTTTATAGGGCGAATCTCAAAATCTGAAACCAATACCTTCAGTTTTCTGTTAAGGAGCATTGCTCATTCTTTCCATGAGGGATTTAAGCACCTCAACCAGCCTAAAAAAGAGATCCTAACTTGAGAAAATGATGTGACAAAGCTATATAGAGGAAACATCTTCTTTGTCAGGAGTGTTAAATAACAAGGGATGGAACATTAATTCCCACATTAAAAGCAATGAAAGATCTGAAAATCAAAGTTTGCATTCTGAGGAAAAATCATTTTGTATTTTAAAGTTCATAATGCCACAGCAGAACTATTACCAAATTAGCTAATTTACACAGACAGGCCAATCTTACCACACGTTTTTCTTAAAAGGTAAAAATTCTGACAGACGAATGGTAATGTAAAAATCTCTGGATTTTCTAAAAATCAATTTATTATTTCTCAATTCAAAGTTGATTTATAGAGATGAGGTAGATATTAAACAATCAAAGGACTCGACAAAAGGTAATCCATCCCTTTGCCTTTAAGTAGATCACTCATTCCTAAACTACCTTAAATGAGAGCCTACCTTAATCTAACAGACTTCCAAAAAGAATTCCATAACCTTCCTTGATAATACATCCTGTTATATACTTTCATATCACATTTTTAAAATATACACAAATACAAATATAAGAAAATAAAAAGCACCTATATCCTTGCTCAAGTTGGCACCCTAAGAATCTTGAGGCAAAAAGCCTATATGATTCCTTTCTTTTTAATTTCTTTCTCTTAGCAAAAAAAGACTACACACATCTATCCAGCTGGCCAACCCAAACACCTGAAAGTCATCCCCACTTCTATTCTTTCTCTGACCAATACCTATGGATCTTATCTCCTTAGTATATCTTGAATTAATTCCCCCACCCACCACATCGGTTCTACTATCCTCATTTTTGCTTAAATCATTGCAAAAGCTTAACAACTTAATGGTCTCTTTGCTTCCAAGAGAGGTCCATTCTGATCTGTTCTCCTGACTACTGCAAGAGTGCTTTCTAAAATACAAATCTGACCATGCAATTACTCTGCTTAAAATCCTTCAATTGCGTCACATCACTTTCAAGATAAAGTCTAAATTCCCAAGCATGGCAAACACAGTCCTTTTTTTAATCTGGCTTCACTCACCAGCCCCATTCACATGCTAAGCTCCAGCCATATGAAACTACTTACAGTTCTCCAAACAAGGCATGCTATCTTTCAGAGCCTCTGTACATGTTCCTTCATCTGCCTAGAAAGACCTTTCTCTATTTGCTTCTGTTGAAGTTTACTCATCTTTAAAGAGTCAGCTCAGAGTCTTCATAGAAGCTAGCATTTTTTCTGACAAGCCCCTATCTGGTCTGGGTCCTTGCATTTCACGTGATTCCCATGAACACCCTCCGGATAACTCTATTACTCTACTCCTCAAGACTTACAGCAATTTTCTATTTCCTTTATGGTAGGCTATATCTTATTTGTTTAAACTTATTTGTTTAAATAGTACCCCTGCATCTAATACAGTGCCTGTCATATATATGGCATACTATAAATTTGAAGAAATGAAAGATAAACCCCATCGTATTAGATGATATTTACTAGGTAGGATAAATGTAGACATGTAAGACCAGAGAATCATCGATGTTGGAAGAGACTGCATTTAATAGTAGGCCAACCTCCCACTGACAAAGGAACTACTTTGACAACTTTCCTTAGAGGAAGACATCCAACCTCTGTCTAAATAGCTCTACTACAAATGTATTTGCTCTTGGGCAGCTACTTATTGTTGTACCACTCTACTGACCAATAAGAGAACAGACTGGAAGTGTCAACTGGTTTGGGGGGTCTAAGTATCATGTCACTTTCAGTACTAAAATGCTTTGCAATCAGCATTTCTACAAAGAAAATTACATGTCAGTGATTCTTGAACTATGCTTTAGGTAGCCCTAGGATTTCCACAGAGGAGTCCCCAGGACCACCAGTTGTTTGGAAGGGAAGAGAAGGTTAGAAGACTGGACAAAACTCTCAGGAGGAGCTTCAGGTCCCTGTCACAGCTTCAAACAGACAAGCTCCACTTTCTCTGATTTACATGTTGGGGTTCCATGTAAAAGTTTAAGGAAAGGGTTTCACAGCCAGAAATTTTTGAAAATTAGTGATATTAATTATAATTGTTCTAAAATGAACTTGGCAAAGTGAAAATACACAATGATGGTATCTTGCTTGTTACTTCTTAATGAGTAACTACCACTGGCCTGTAAAATAATCTAGCAATTAAGATAATAATTAATACAGGGAAGAAACCAAACATTCTATTTTCAAGTAATCTATGTATAATGATTTTGCTTACAAAAAAAAAAAAAACAGATAATAAGAAAAAAAGTTAATTCAAAGTAACGTTTACTATTGGTCCTCAGCAAGGTTGAACTTTACTCCCAAATAAAGAAAATCATACCCCTTGTGACAGTCCTGGTTGAATATAGGTAAAGAATATATTTTTGTAACTATAAAACCTGAGAACCAACTTATTTTGTCCTTTCTAAACTTTTTAAAAATGAAATCCCCATTCTACTAGAATTTTCAAAGGTCACTAGGTACAACTTAATTGCCAAATTCAGAAAATCTTTTCACAGTTCTCATTCCTTAAATGCTCTGCAAAATTTGACACCACAATTCCAGCTCTCCTTTGTACACGTGTTTCCTCCCTGCCTTTCCCTGTCCCCATACTCTACTCCTCTGGTTTATCTTCTTCACTTCTGTCTCTACTGATGCCTTTGAGGGCTTCCTCTACTTTCTCCTACACATTGAGGGTATTCCCCAAATATCAGTCCTCCACTGGTGTTCTCTGTGCATTATCACTCTTGGAGAAATAATCAACACAAACTATTACCCCAACTATGATCATTTCCTAATTGTACTCTTAAGTCTTACTCTCTTACTCAAATTCCTACATTTGGGTGCATCAACGCTGTCTCAATCACGTTAATTTAAAGTTAAATCGTCACCTCTGGGCTTCCCTGGTGGCGCAGTGGTTGAGAGTCCACCTGCCTATGCAGGGGACACGGGTTCGTGCCCCGGTCCAGGAGGATCCCACATGCCGCGGAGCGGCTAGGCCCATGAGCCACGGCCGCTGAGCCTGCGCGTCCGGAGCCTGTGCTCCGCAACAGGAGAGGCCACAACAGTGGAAGGCCTGCGTACCCCAAAAAAAAAAAAAAAAAAAAAAATCATCACCTCTTATACTCCTATTCCTTCGGTCTTCCCCCCTCTGACCCAAATTGTTTGGGTCAGTAAAAACTGTTTGAAAACTTACCATGTGCTGGGCCCTGTTACTAATGCTAGTGGATACAGAAATTCATAAGACAACTTGCCTTTTGGTGGCTCTCTTCCCTTATAAAAGGTTAATTTCTGCACAATATGGGGAATGGAATAATAATACTATACACAGTATGGCCTAGAAGCAGTCTAGGTTCAGGAAACATTTCCTGTAGGAGATACTATCTGAGTTAAGTTTTAAAAGAACAAACATTAGCCACATACTGTGTAGAGTAGGAGGGAAAAGATATTTCAGGTAGAGGCAACAGCATCAACAAAACACAGATTCAGGAAACCTATGAATTAACTGAGTCAACATGATATAACTGTGCTCCAGGAAAGTATTTTGCCCAAAATGAAAATGATAAGACTGTAAGCCAAGAATTAGCTTCACTGTGGCAGGAAAGTTTTACAAACTAATTTATCTGGGCAAACAATTTGTACATCAGGGCAAACAGCTCTCCTGACAGGATAACAGACTGCTTCAAGAACCTTTTCTTGTTAAGTCCACTAATTTTAAATATTGTGTCACAAACTTTGCCCATCCCAACCAGTTCCCCACCTTAAAGGACCTGCCTTAAACCACATGAGTCCAGATCTCAAAACCCTAGAAATACCCTTTCCTAACTTCCCCTAACTACCAAGGCTCTGTCAAAGTGGTGCTCTCCCTTGCTGCAGTAAGTTTAATAAACTCAGCTTTGCTTGATCAACAGAACTCTCTTTATGGGGAAAGTCAAGAGCAGGAATTTACTACAGAAGGTGAGGAAGAGGGAGAAATCCAAATATGACTCCTAAGTTTTAGGCC